AAGTTGTTGGCGTAATCCATGTCCTTTTTCTTGGTGATTTCTGTGGTATATTTCCAGTTGAATATGTGTTCCGACTTGATAAATATATATATAGCCGGCATGGCAGGTTTACGTAAATTCTTTGCAGTTGGCAGATTTTGGTTACTTAGCGGTCTACAAATAACATGATGTACTGTATTTACAAACGCTCTAAGTATCAGGAAAATTGTCTTTTCCTTTCCCAATGGCAAAGTGAAGCTCACACACACTGTGACAGTTCACATTCCTTGCTTCAAGTGGCCCAGCGGAATCGTGCTTTCGCTTCAGTGGGGCCGGGGGGTGTGCACATTATTTGGAAGAGCACTCCATATTTGGAAGAGCACTCCATATATGGGAGCCCGGATGGTAGATGGCGCGTAAAAATTGCGAACTTTGTCGTTCAATTTCGCGGTCAAAATGTGGCCCTGGCAAAAAATATGTTATAGATTATAAAAATAGACCAAAAAGTCTACCATGTCAGATAGAGTTTTTTTTCTATATTAGTATTTCCAAAAAGTCCTCAGGCACCCTTCAATATGACCTTAAGGCACCGGAGGTACCAGAAGGTCAAGTTTGGTGTCGTTTGAAAGGTATTAGCCCAAGTATTAAGGTCCGTAAACTGTTACAAATTATCATGTATCGTTCGGGATTTATAAGTGTTTGAAGTTTTAAGGGCCGCCTTAAGGTAGGGTTAGGGTTAGGGCAACCGGAGGTACCAGAAGGCCCGCATGTCGTTTGCATTTATCATTTTTGTTTTAGTATTTATACGTGTTTGATATTTTAAGGGCCATGTTGAGGTATACTAGTTCAAAATCTTATCAATGGTAGATTTAGTCACACCTTATCAACCCACTAAGTATGAAAACAATCCATTCAGCCATTCTTGTGCTATTTTGTTGACAAAAATGAATTCCCTAGGGAATGCATTCGTGGAATTCTTAGAATATTTGAACTCAATCGCAGTACTATACCAACGGCTCCGCCCTTGAGGCGTCGCCAATGAGAATGCAAGAATGAAAAAGCAAGTCCGACACAAACACTTGCACAAAATGAATAAAATCCCCTACACAAAACATCACTATCATCACTTAGTTAAGTTTTAAAAAATGACCAGCAATCAATCTGACTTGAACACTTTTAACATGCTGCAATATAAGGGAAACCTTTGGCTGGCGTTGCAGAAGCCTGTATCGACAAACAGCTGAGACATCTTGGTCATCATTAAATCTAGAGAACTTATTTGAAGTACGTGTATCGTAAAAACACTGTACAGACTACTGCATGTCTCATGCCACAAGCCTATGTGCAAGGGCTGGTCCCACTACTCTCCAAGCAGAGGTTGGTGGGGATGATCGCTAGCGGGGGTAACGATCTTCCCCTCCAACCTCTGCTTGGGGAGTAGGTCCTACAAGGTATTGCCAAAAAGCAAGTCCCTGGGGAATGCATTGGTGGAATTTTTTGGGAATATTTTCAACTCAATCGCAGTACTATACCAACGGCTCCGCCCCTGAGGCGTCGCCAAAAACGGAATTAGTTTTGAATACGAACGTTGGGATCGTCCGGAATCGGTGGGTGTTTCGCCATGTTCCTCGGCAGGGGCACGGACACGGTGATCTCTCTCAGGATGTTTTCCGCCGGCTCCCGGGTCTGGGTAACCATCGGTCCGGTCCCAGGCAGTTTAATGTCTGCAAATGTGTGTCATGTCCCTAATGTTATGATATTTGTATGGTGAAAATTGGATCTACAAACACACACACACACACGCACACACACACATACACACACACACACGCACACACACACGCGCACACACACACACACACACACACACACACACACACACATACACACACAGACACACACACACACAGATACACTGTGTCACACAGACAGACACACACGCACACATACACACACACACACACACACACACACACACACACACACACACACACACACACACACACACACACACACACACACACACACACACACACACACACACACACACACACACACACACACACACACACACACACACACACACACACACACACACACACACACACACACACACACACACACACACACACACACACACACACACACACACACACACACACCCCAAATCCACCTCAGGGCTTTCTTTGCTCCACCTCCACACACACAAAAATCATTGCCATATCTAGTAAAAAATGGTAAGTAACAGTTACATACTTTGATCATTTTTGCCCTTGAAGTACTCGTGGATGCGGCTCCAGGTTGTCCCGCTGGCCTGGGAGAGAGACAGGGTCGATACCGTGGTGGACGCCCAGAGGGCGCTTTTGTACCGCCTCACGTCGTACTCTGGGGTCGAGCACAACAGCTCGAACTCAGGGCACTCTTCAGTGCAGACCTTTTCCAGACCTTCGCTGTTACTGTTGAGAAAAAGGATTTCAAACTCATTACTGTGTACAATAACGTGACTTAAGTTTGTACAGGAACTACGTTTTTGAAAACGAAAGACAGCAACTATAAGTTGTACTATAAGTATGTACGTAGAATATATAGATGAACAAATAATCCTAAGTTCCTTGAAGTATAAAGTTTTTGGACGCGGAGGCAATTAAAGATTTTGTACTGAACTTTCCATGTATATAAATTACATTTTTAGTTGCCCTGTAATATTTATTTTCTGGAATACCTAATTAACTCTTACAAGAAAAATTATGTGTGATAATATTATGTTGTATGTACCTGTTTTCATCACCCTGTGGCTGTTTAACATGAAGGTGGCCATAACACACGCACACACAGATCAGAAGAAAGGCCTCCAACAGGAATTTGGACGCCATAGTCACCTGTGTCATTGAACGTATGATTTTAGAATGTTTCACGGGATTGAATGTTGTTCAATTCTGTAAAGCTCAGATTTCGATGAAAATACGACAATAGCCACACAAACGTTAATGATCGGGGAACTAGTTACTGTGATATGGTTTCAAATACAGAAGTTATTAATGAAAGAAATTTGATATGTCAAAGTTAAAACAATTTCCATTTTAATTCAACTTTTCTGATTTCCACACTTTTCCACAGTATTTTGATGTTTTTAGTATAATGACTTACGTTTATGTGTGTGAATTGTTTTGCCCATGCAGAACTCCTTTAAAAATATATACCAAGCAAAACGCAGAAATTTTGAATTCAAGTTGAGGTGAATAAGCTAAGGAAAAAGACTGACCTCCATTTCTAAACGTTTTGCAAAACAAGAAAACTTACATTGGGCTCTATTGTGGGCAAATAGTATTGACATCACCTCCGGTGGACTTTACATTTACATACATTGTACATATAAAGTCCAACTCGAAAACAATCGCTGGTCTATCAACAATCAGCGAATGACACGGTCACACACAAAGAACGTTGTACTTTGAGCACTTCTATGTTGATACAGAATGGCATATTCATGCACCTAGGCACGTAGATGCGCGTACTGAATTACCATAATTGTGTTTTTTTTTTCAATCTTTCCCTGGCTGTGCCCTATCCTCTATACTTTTGTCTTCACAAACTTAACAAAACATTGAAACAGGTCATGAAATGTTTTACCTTTGATTGAATCTCCATGATCATGGCAAGGGACACCTTTGTAAATAAATAAACGATTCCGACTTTGGGTCCGGTCTCATACATCGTGCAATTGCAAAGTTAGGCATTCTTAAGATAGCGATGAATATGTGAACTTGTACCAAGTTTATCTGTCTTGTCACTCAAGAAACTGTCTTAGTCGCCGGTGGTTAGTTCTGTCACAGCGTACTTGAAACCTTACGATATCAACCGATCGTCCAACGTCCTACAACGAATGTGGCCAAGCCCTTGATTCCCCTTCTCAGCGGATAAAAGAATGTTAAGATCGCTAGTGATTTCACAAAGAGCTCCAAATATAACAAAAAATACTTACTTCTTTGACCAACGTCTCTAATCAGCGTTCAGAACAGGTTTGCACTTCAAGTGTGGGTAACTGTAATGTCACTCTCTAACAAGTACGAAGACAGGTTAGGGTCTTGCGTCCTCTTATTAAGGCGAGGCATGTGATGTCGGTACTGTCGTTAACCTCCAGTCACCCCGTATACCCAATAACTAACTGGCGGTATTTGAGATTTTGTTTTCTGATGTTATCTTCATTGATTATACTAGTATGTAATGCTTAGACACAAAGTCACAAGGCAGGGTTTGGATGCTACATGATATAAAATTACCGTAAATAAGACTAATTCCACCCACAACTCAAAGAGTGAGGTATCATCGTTTTTGTTTTGTGTCTGTCTATCTATTTGTCTCTCTCCTCTATCTCCGTCAAATCGCCATGGTAGCATATGTTTCAAAGAGTAACTTAAATGTAGTGAAAATATTAAGTGGATAGGTTTTTTGGTGACGCCTCAGGTGCGGCGCCAACAGTATAGTACCGAGATTGAGTTGAAAAATGCTCTAATAAAAACAACCCTGAAAATAATGATTCACCTGACAATATTTGAAATGTCGACTTTTATTTCATGCCATGTGCAAGGTTGAAGGATACGAATCAGTACAATTTCAGTATGCACAGCCATATCCGCAGTAGACGTTTCGTCCATTTAATTATTAGAAACAAAAATACATGAGTTAGTCTCATCATCTTTACAGTTACGCATTTCATAACAATGAATTCTTTATGTATCATTAAAAAAATTGAAACACCAGGTAAAGTGTTAATAGACAAATGCAAAGATATAGAACGACTAGTACGAACGCAGCTACCAGTAAATCCACCAAACTGGGAAAATGTCAACGATCTACGATGACTTTTGCTACTCATTTCAACAACATTATGCAACAGCTAGCTATGCTGACAAAACTTTCTTATAAACTATAGCATTCAAGTAACTTGACTCTTGATCAATAGACTCCTGATAAAGCTACAACGCAGGAGAGAACTGATGTTTCTACATTTTGTGATTGCACGGCATTCTTGTCTCATCTTCTCCCTCCGCCTTCTCAGCTTCGTCTGGTGTCTCATCTTCGGATTCTCCTCCCCCCTCCTTAGATTCTTCTTCTTTCACCCTCCTCCTTCTCCTTCTGCTCTCCTCACTCTCCGTCGGTTGGTGCCTCCTCGTCTGTGAGGTCAACACAGGGGAAAATAAGTAGTCTGAGATTCTAAACCTCCGGGAGTACATAATGCACAATGTTCACATCAACTGATGACAATGTTAGCAATGTTACCAGAAACGCTACATATGATGGATGATATGACAGTTACAATACACTCCCTCCTGAAAGCAGTTTGGTATAGCCTATCAGTTTCTAAAGTAGACAACAGCTGTTAATAGACGATACCACACACATGCAGCAGGGGAGGTTGTGCCATACAAGACTTCATACAAGCTATGTATAAACATCGTTTGGTAGATCAAACATTTTACTTGACTCAACATATACGAAAAACTGGAAGTTGGCTAAAATTCGTTCTGAGATAGGGCAACACCTATACTGATGTGACTAAGTCCACGCGTCAAGTATTGTATAAGTTCTTACCTCCTTCCTTTGCTTCAGAAGGCTTGAGGAAAGCCACGTAGGTGACCTTATCTTCGGGCGGAGTGAAAGGGGCGTCATATTGGAAGATCAGCACCCAGTCCTGGAGGAGGGGGGGGGAGGAAATGTTAAGAATATGGCAGATGTGACAGTGTGGTAATGAATTTTCAATGACGAATGAGAAATCTTTGAAGTCCAAGATTAAATCACGCGTTAACGTTGATGACCAAGTTTTCTTCATGGGCAAATCTGGAACTTCTATTTCTTTCTTGTGTTAGACTATGCCACCCTGTACTCGTAACTATAGCATTGCATACCACTGGTCCTAATAACAACAATTGACATTTTCTAGCTAAGTAGTCTGTTATTGTTTTTTTTAAGAGAAATTGCTTTTCTCTGATTCAAACGTGGTTGTTAATGAAGTTTTCCAGACCTTATCAAACTCGAGTTCCTGCTCCTCCAGTTTTTGTCTGAGTTCCTCTGTACGTTCTGCCAAAGCGCTCTGTAGCGTAACGTCCTTCACCGAGATGGCATAGGCATCCGCACCCTCATTGTCAAATGTTGACATCTGTATAAGAGATAGGAGAAAGGCCTGGTAAGTATTGACACTTAGCAAAATAAAGGTGACTCCGGTTACAAGCAACATGTCATTGTAGTAAATTTATTCAAACTATGTTGTCTATTTAATTGCTTTGTAAATTCACTTTTATATTACATATCTATGCCTCTAGCTAAATCTCCTCAAACCCTATCACAGATACGTGAACAGTTCCATCAGGTTGGTAAGGCACTGAGTAAAGAGACTCGTTTTACACAACCAAGCCTTTTATTCCGCTGAATAAAAGACTTGGTTGTGTAAAACGAGTCTCTCCTATCACAGATACATTGCCTATTTCCTGGAGTCAAGAGCAACGTTAACGTTTTTGTACTTAATTGTAACAACAATACAATACAATACAATACACACACCCCTTCTCCATTCGGTTTTGGTATGTCCTTGCCCTGGTCAATCCAGGCGTCAGGCAGCCTGGCACAGGCCTGGTACTCCCGGTCACACGCATCGATGCCCTTCGACTCCTCCTCATCACTGTAAGTCTTAACCTGGAGCACAGGAACACGGGGATTGTAAACACTGCTTGAGTATACCCAGCTATTTCTGACATCCTTCTCAACAATGTAATGATTAGTGATTCGATAATGGACAGTAGAAATGTTTGCTCGTCTAGTGACTGCACATTGATTGTGTTATTAGAAAGTACTAGAAAGCTCCTCAGTGACTCATCTATTGTCAACATATGTGGGTAACACATTTGGGCGATGATGATTGTCAACATCGCCCAAATGTGTTACCCACAGGTGGGTGTAATAGGTATGGACGTCAACAGTCTATTGCCTCCTCTTCCCCCTTTCCCTACTTGTGCGCGCGCGCGTGTGTGTGTGTGTGCGCGCGCGCGCGCGTGTGTGTGTGTGTGTGTGTGCGCGCGCGCGCGCGTGTGTGTGTGTGTACGTGTGTGTGTGTGTGTGTGTGTGTGTGCGTGTGTGTGTGTGTGTGCGTGTGTGTACGTGTGTGTACGTGTGTGTTTACGTGTGTGTGTTTGTGTGTGTGTGTGTGTACGTGTGTGTACGTGTGTGTGTGTGTTTGTGTATGTATGTATTTGCTTCCATGTGCAAGTATATATCTCTATGTGTAACATTATATGTTCATCTCTATGTACTGCACATCTCACCTGAAGCACGATTGGTGACGTCATGTCTCCGATGACCTCCTTCTCGGCGTTATCTCCGTTGAAGTACTTGAAGAGCGGCAGGAGGACAGACCGTCCCGACATCCCATGCAAACAGCCCTGCTGCCACTGACACACGCCCTTGGCTAGGAACAACAGGAAGCCGTTAGGGATGTAACGCCTATCGTTGAACTGACCATAGAATCCCTTCTACTTTCCCATTCTTCTACTTTCGTAGTGCTCCTTAGTACTTTTACAGGAAAAGTACTACTTAGTTGTTTCACCAACACCAATGGTATTTTATGCAGCACATAAAAGCACATACTGAAGATAGCGTTAGCAATTATGATAATTGTGTCTTTCCACGTCACGTTACGATAATTTTCGATAATTAGGACAAAGTTATAATGTAGATCATAAGCTTGTGACACCAGTTCTCTCTGTTATAGGATGGCTTATGCATATAAATATGATCCCTGGTATATATCACTTATTTTAACCGTCCTTGTCATGATGACATCAACCACCACAGATGAACTTTCATCTGTACAGAGGCCATTTTGTGGGACGTTTGAAACATGTTATAAGAACCTACTCTTCGGGAAGTGGATCTCCATGAAATCGTCGTGCTCTTTGGTGACGTGGATCTCTAGACAAGTCTTGTCACTGCAGCCCTTCGGCTTGGGAAGGTCGACCCAGTCGTGGTCGTGCGCATCAGCCTCCTCCTTCTTCTCTTCCCCTTCCTCTCCCTCATGTTCCTCGGGCTGCAAGGGTTCATTACAAATATTTAGAAACAAGAATATCTTATAAACCCTATTTCACTGTGAGATAAACGCTTAAGAAGTCAGAAGACTATGTCTATAAAACGTTACATTTCTGCAACTTTGAGAGAAAAACAAACAGGCTGACTGCTTACGGATCTAAAGGCGCGGTCACATTTGCCAACCCGGGGCCCGGCCGGGCAGTCGTATGGAACGAAAATTATGATATAAGACAGCAAAACACAAAAATAGTTTTAGAAAATTAACCATGACCACTATTTGTGTATACTCTTATATATACAATTTGTTTATTTTACGTTCATGCAAACAACCCGGCTGGGCCCTGGCTTGGAAATGTGACCGTGCCCTAACGACGAAAATGTTCTCACCTTCCAGTAGATGTGCTGTTGGTCTACAACGATGATCTCGTGCAGGCCGTTCTCATCACCAGGGTCGTCATACCCACCAAACCAGAGCTCCTGGAACAGAAACGTGAAAAGTAAAAAGATTATTGTTCTGGTGATCATGATGATAACTCTTTGCCAACATAGTACAATTATCAGATCATCCATGCATAATCTATAACTAGTGATATTGTATTGACATTAAACGTAGTAATCAACTGAAACAATTGACGTGAAAATCTAAATCCTAAGACATTTTTTCTCAAGAATACCTAGGATTACAGAGGGCATCAAAGTACCACCTAAAGCATATTTATGCCATTGCGACCTCTCTGTTACTTATGCAGTATATGACAGTTCAAGATGGGGTCTTCGTAACTGCACTACAAGCTTAGTCGTTGCCTTCTACATCATTAAGGTACATTCAAATGGCTAAGCGTATACATAGGAAGGACGAGTGTCCATCATGTGTGTATTTACCTGTCCGTCTATGGAATAATCGACTCCAAACGGCTTGAGAGCGTCCAGCTGTTCAGTCATGTCCGTCAGGGACTTGTAGAGTATCTCCGGGGTCGGCTTTCCCACGAACACGGACTGGAACCAGTAACTTTCCTTGTCTCCTGACCGGATGCCAATCTGAAAGGCACAGTACAACGTTGAGAACTTGGTAAGAAAATAAACTAGAACGTGATAAAAAGATGTGATAATGATATACAGATATTTCCGGATTTGGGACCAGTTGGGAAACACTAATTTTCTTACTTGTTGAAAATTGAGTACAAGATAATTTTCAAAGCAATCTGTTGCTTACACTGCATCCTGTGGATATAGAATTCTCGGATCCCGGTTTCGTATCAAAGAGAAGTAAGCCTTGTTTATTTGTGATTTTGCATTGAAGCAATGTACGCAAAATACATTACTTTTGCATAAACATATTCTTTTGGTCCACATTAGACTTTAGACAATCGTATATCAAACTTCTGTATCCAGTAGCAACACCACGCCACCAGAACGATTAACAGTAACAATTTTGTACGTACATGGTCATCGATGGGCTTTGGTGGGTTCTCCGTATATTCATGTGGGATGTACATACACAACGTGAACGACTTCACGCACTCGTTACCCTTCTCTCCGGTATGTCCCTGGACAAAAAAGAAAGAACACATAGCTCATTATGTTTACCTTCACAGAAGGAAAACAATATTTTTTGTTCGGTTTCTTCTTGCCTGTCATGGTAACTGGTGCTGTAGCAGACACCCTGTCGTGTTGGCATTATGTAGCAGGACAGAGCTGTAGGGATGGTCACCATGTACTATCTTCCTGTGAACGATTTTGTAAGCTTGATCCTGTTAGTCTGTCGATTAAATGGGGTTACACAAAACTGCATGAATGTGTACCAAGTATCTACCACTGCTTAACCTTCAACCTACTGAGGTAGCGTACCAAATTTGCCACGATTATGGGGATAGCTTGCAGGGAGAAGGTTAAAGGTATAAGAAGAAGTCCGTTACCTGTCCATACAGGGGTTTGGTGATCTGCATCCTGACGTTGTCCTCGTTCTTGCCGTTGATGTATGACAGGATGGGCTGGAGTGCCTTCTCCCAGGCCTGCTCGTAAGAACAGGACAGCGACGTGCTGTTTGCACACAGCCATTTTGCTGTGGAACAGGTAAGTATTATAGTCAACAATGTTAGAAAGACTTAACGCAACGCTGGCAGATGTACACCACAAGAACATTTCTGGATCCAAACATCTTTTTTCCATAAAATCACAATACATTCTTAGTTTTCTAATTCTACTAAATCCTGTGCCTATACTCGTTGAGGAGATACTTCCTTTGTGGAACTTCTAAACTTACCAACTGGGTGTTTCATGAGCCTAAGGTTGTTCTCAAACCTCATGGCGACGGACATGTTGGGACACTCGTACGTGGTACAGCGGTCCCCGAACACAGGCTTCGGCTCGTGCCGGTTGTAGTTCTTACTCAGCGGGAGGTGGAAGGTGAACTCCGGACGGCCTTCCTGGTCACTACAGTCCAGGTCGGCATCGATGTTGATCTGGGGGCAAAGCGACAGCCATGAGCATCCGACATAACGTTGTTTCTTCTCATCACTAATGAACTTCTTTCAACTAAAGTGTCAAGAACCTACCTACTTTTAGCTACTTCCTTTTATGGTATTTGCAGTCACGTGACAATGATGTCAAATGGTCCGCCATGCTTGTGGGTTACAAACACGTGCAAAGTCATCAAGGAGCAATGTACTGCGCGAAATGTCTTTTGCATGGCATTTCGGCAGAAAGTATATATATTTACTGTCGTATTTGCATATTTAAGGATGACATACTGTCTATGCTTTTTAAATATTGCATCAGAGAAGATATCGTTGCAACGGGAAAAATTATGACACAAAGTTGGCCAAACATCCAAAGAATTCCATGAAAGTCCACGTTTTGTACAGGTGCAGTACTTTCTGCCAACGTACTTCATCAAGTGAGGATCGATGTAAACAGTTTAAACAAGATGAGGCTAGCAATTCTGTAGATTTGAATTTTGCCACGATGAATGAGAAAAGAAACCTGTAGAACATAAAACGTTTAGAGACATGCAATGGTTTTAAAAGATTTTCTACCTCGTTAAACCTGTCGAACAGCCTGGACTGAGAGTGGTACTCGATGACAGTGAAGTGGTCCTGCAGTATGCACTTCTTCACGTCCCTCAGCTTGTGCATGGTCATCTTCGACACAGCAGTGACGGTCTCTGGCTCGTAGTAGGCGTTTCCACCGAAACACTTGGTGTAGAACTGACTGTGTTACGACGAAATGTGAGAAAATTGACTCCTGCACATTTCAAGCAAGGTCTTGTTTCAAGTAATTTTCTACAAACTTATTTTTCATTATTTCGGCCCATCTGACCTGTGACTTGGCCACGTAATTCTGACGTCTGTGGAGCTAGGTGGTACAAGGGTGCAAGTTTTAGCTCTCGTCCTTTCACCAACTACCACCTCTTTTCTCACCATCACTAGGTAGGTTAAGCTAACTTAAGTAGGTTAGTTACTTAGAAGTCGTTGTTTACATTTTATGTTATCATCAGCCCTATATTTATACAAGCATAGCTAATAGAAAAAGCATGATATCATGATTCACCTCTTATGAGGACGACTAACAGACAATAACAAAGAAACATTTTATTTGGTTATTAGGTATTCGTTTTGGAAAGGTCACCCTTCAACTTGATTTAACTTTTCCCGTTGTCTACAATTTGGACAAACTGCGTCTGGTGTCGCTTTTCCTGTCTGTGTTAATTCCATACGTTAGAAAGGATGCATCAACGTTAGTTCACGTTGATTTGACGGTAAGATCTGACGTTGACACTGTTACGTAAAATAAGTGGATAACTTACGTCCCTCCTGCAGCCTGCCCGTCGTGCAACACCTTGATGGTTTTCGGTGCGTGGAAGAGATCTTCGTTCAAAGACAGGGTGTAGTCCTGGGGAACAAGTCAAGATAAGACAAAATAAATTCCCTTTCTTTCACCTCGACATGTAAACATCTGTAGTAGTGGCGAGGCCACGAAATGAGCTTTGTCTGCGGCCACTTACCTGCAGTTTGGGTATGATCTGTCAGGGGACTAAATCATAAACAAATATTCCAAAACTCCTTTTACACACTTTGAACTCTATTACTACAACGGGCATCTACAGGAACATGCAATGATACACGATCTAATCTTAGGAAAAGGAGCAACGAGCAACTGTGGGAACATGCAATGGTACACGCATAAACCAGCAATTGACTTACATCAATTACAACCGAAAAAGCTGCAGATTGAAAGAAAAACGATTGAGGTCCTAAATTCATTTACACTTTTACAGAAACGCCGGCTTATATCAACGAACTTTTTTTTTTAATTTTCAGCAATTTGTAGCATTAAATATAAACTCACATCTTCTGGCTTGCCGCTTCCGCCGCCCATGCCAAAGTAGACCTTGTAGAACTTCCCACAGCCTTCCTTCCCGTCCTCGTTCTCTCTCTTCTCTACAACAGCGGTCATGGTCATGGCGACGTCCGACAGAGGAACGCCTGTAGAGGGGAGGAAAATACTAAATAAGATGTCCTTAATAATTCTTGCAAAAGGATGACATTTAATAGACCCAGTGGTTTAAGCCAAGAATAATAATAATAAATCCTGTCTAGTATAATTGCAGGCTTCCGGGGATCTTCGGACTACTTTATATACTATCTTTAGATATCATGGCAATCTATCATGCAACCTGTGTCGTGATTAGTCACGTGACCTGTGTTGACCTTCTGACCTCATGGTCACGTGACTACTTTAGCACTGAAGAAAGATGGCGGATGTCATCTGAAAACTGTTGAAAACTTTTCGGTTTAAAATACTCCGTTTTACTATCATGTAACCAGTTCTATTCAGTGTAACATTAGAAACGGGTTTAGGATACTACTTTCTCCCCGTAAAAAAGCCCAGTCACCTGTTTCGTTCAAGTACTCCATGAGGGGTCCTGTAGTGGAATGCATGGCCGTGTCGAAGTTACAGGTGAGAGGGACGACACCGACGGCCTTCAGGTCCTTCTCCTCTCTCAGTTTGATGGTGTGATCGTCCACCTCTTTCACTTCCTTTGCCGTATACTTGGGGCACTTCTTCGGTGCTGCAAAGGATGACATAAGACACAGTGTTTTAGGGCAACACATTTAAAATAGGCTAAGGGAAATGTGTGTATCTTATTTCATCAGGGAAAACATATCGCCTTATAGCGTTTTGCAATGTGACCTTAAGATGGGGGGACCCCAAAAATAAATCATTAACATCAAATTAAATCATCAATAACAAGAAATAACCAATGGTTCATGCTTATCATGAGTCAATACAAAACGTATACATAATTTAGAGACTAGATATAACATACCTTCAACTAAAACAAACATAAAGTTAAGAACGTAATACAATACCAATCATATTAAATGAAATCAGGACGGAAGTATTCTACGTTTGTATGCGAATGTACGTGTGGGCTTTCGTACCTTCACAGAAGGTCTCGGAACACTGCCTCCTGGCCAGGGCCTCTACAGGGATGTCCTTCTGCTCCATCTTGTGCCAGGAGCCTATCCTGTCGTCGTGATGCAGGCAGTGCGGGATCCCCTCTCCGTGCCCGACCAGGTCGTTAAACTCCAGCCACTTGAACGTCCTCTCGTTGATGGCGAAAACCCAGATCTCGTTGTACGTTTTTGGGTCAGAGGATCCAGTCCGACTGCAGTGGGAGACGAATTTGACGAGTTCGTTGACTTCAGTTAGTCTTGCTAGTACAAAGTACAAATATTACCTACTTACCGTTTCCAATTTAGTGAACCATGTGTGGGAGTCACTAAATCATAGAATTTGTTGGACAGTGCCTGATAGGCCCTAAATTACAGAACTGGTAAGTTCTTAGCAATAATTAGGTTCACGTGCTTGCGCAGTGTGATGCACTATGGGTAATATGCAAAAACCTGGTTTCAAATGGGTTTTTTCAGCGCCTTCACCTTAAATTTGACATTGGGAATGCACACTAGAACCTTTGAACCTCCTTATATCCGTTGCATCTATGATAATTTGGACCGTTATAAAACAAGTAAGAAAACAAAACAAAAATCAGACCTGTCATATTGAGCGATGTAGAAGTAGTCATGTGTGCCGTGGAAGGGCTCGTGGTGGTGCTTCAGGGCGGTGAAGAACTTCTTGGCCTCCCGCTCTGCCACAAACCCGACACGCGCCGCACGGCCACGGAACTTCTTCACGTACATCACAGACTCGGGAACGAGATCGATCACAACCTGGGACAGAGAGCACGCGACAGGTTGGTACAGAAACGCCCTACATTCAGTTCAAACATATTCTATGGAAAAAAATTGAAAAACAATGATTCAGTTGTTTTTCCAACATTTAATACAAAATATATAATGACGGCACACTCAAGTTTTTTCAACTTAGTTTTATGCTGCCACGAACGCAGGGGACAGTAGACATACTCATTTCCACCTGAGTGAAGTGAGGAAAGCCGTGTAAAGTACCTTTCTCAATCGTACAAGATCGGTGGCATGGCAGGATTCGATATATTTAGAAAATGTAAATATTCTGTAGCACCACCCAGACTAAAAAGACTAAAAGCTTCTGTCTAGATAGATGAATTACGAGAGACATACATGAGGGTCGTTCGGTGTGGGAGGGTTGTGAGCCATGGCCTTGGGGAGCGGCATGGACACCGTGATCTCGTGGAAGGGGCTCTCCTGGGGTTCCCGGGTCTGCGTCACCAGGGGTGCGGTGTACGGCATCTTCACTCCTGGTAATATTATACCACAACAGATGTAATCATGAACAACATACTCCGTCCGTTTCGTATACTCAGAGCAGGGAAGTCTTTCCCACTGTAAGCGAATACCAGATCCCTTAGATTTAGCAAGCCAAAAACCCATACCCTAGTGAATTCATGGAAAGAATTTGAATATATTTTCATGCTGATCACAATATATACTATATATCAGCTCTGCCCCTATGGCGAAGCCAAAAATACGGTACATTATGTTAGATCTAGAGATGGAACGCACATATGACATCCTCAAATGGCCACGACAAAACAGACGGCGGCTAGGTAAGATATTTCTGGGAATGATGGTAAAAGGGAAAATCGTGCTGTGAACCATGGACGAAAACTACTAGTATATCCCATTGACTGCAACCTACTGCCTATCCAGTACTGTAGCCTAAGTACCATTCTCTGTAGCAACTGTGGTAGCCAGCGACAGTAGGGGGCCAGCGTACCCTGGGTGTCAGACTAGTATCGGGGCCTTTAGCCGTTTTCCTTCGGCAGGATAAGAGCCCTTGCCCGCTATCTAAATTACCGCTACGGGGGAGTTGAGCCCAGGAGGAGTTTGCCTTGATTCAATGGAGGAATTATAGATAGAATGTTTGGCTGACCTTCCTTGTTGCCTCCCCTGATGTACTTGTGCAGGCGGTTCCAGCCGCGCACGTGGCCCTGGTACAGGGACGGGTCCGATACCGTGGTGGAGATCCAGAGGGCGCTTTTGTACCGCCGCACGTCGTACTCATCGGTGTGGCACAGCGTCTCGAACTCAGGACACTCTCCATGGCAGTACTCTTTCAGCTCCTTTGCATGGGAGTCGTGGTGGACCTCGTGGCTGTCACTGAGGGAGGAAAATATAAAATGAACAAACGCCCCTGCAGTTCCAGAACGAGCTGCTAGGGGACCCAAACTAATGTCACATCTTCCCGACCACAGGAACACAAGGTGTATATCGGTATTTGGTAACGTATGGAAAACATCCAAAGAAGGGTTAAGAACGAAGGAACTGAATTGAAAAGCAACATATGATAATTCATGCAAAGAATGTCCACGACACCCCCGCCGCAATGGTTGGTCCCAAACTGTTGATATGCTTTCTCCGTCCTTGACCTTTGACCCACGGAGGCCGCTATCAGCACCCGTACAGTGCGCAACGTAAACATTTGTCCATTAGATACCAAACTAAACCAGGCTCTCCAAACAAAAACAGTCGGGTATTTTGGACTCTTAATATACAAACATAGATGCTTTTAACCGCAACATTTTCAGACTGCCATTATTGGCCTTTGTCACATCGTTATTAGGACTTGTGTGACCAATTCGTACGGTGGGTTTTTGTTGGTTGAAAATGAGTTGAACGAAAAACTGCTTTCTGCCGACACAGATGATCTTTTAATACAAACAGAAATGCAGTTACGTTATATGCTTATAATGGACAAGAAGAAGAAGGTCTTATATAGCCTCGATGCCATCCGATTTGTAACGGCAACACCGAAGATTTCGATTTTTCAGGGTTGTCGTTACACATCGGATGGCACCCAGGGTAGGTTTTATTTTTTTAGTACTTAAGGGAATGATTTGGCAAGCATGATAGTTTTTCCCATAAGGTACAGCTGCCCCTGACATTGTTGGAACTGTGGCAGCTCTGGAATTTGTTGACGACTTCTTGCAGGTCTCTAGTTTCTATAAACAATTTGAGATTTTGGAATAACGCCAATATACAGCATCACCCACGAACCAGATGTTACTCGATTGGATAACTGTTAACTGTCATACACAAATCATGAAGTAAAAAAAAACATGGAACGATATAACTTACCCATGCTGGTGACCTGGGCCATGATCATGGTCTTCATGACTCTCACTTAAGAAAAAAAGTAATTATATAAACATTCAGGAACAAATAGTTCCCACTTATTTCAAATATTGCGTTGGTCCAGAAAATATCACAAAACTCAGCCAAAATAACAACTTCTTTCACAAAATAGAAAATTTAGGAACCTAAACGTGATGACAGACTTTCGTGTGATAGTGTTTAGGGAATGACATGACTTACCCGTGCTCGTGGCCCTTTCCGTGATCGTGCCCTTCATGGCTCTCACTGAGGAAGGAGAAAATAAAGAAAATCTAAAAATTCAAGAATGAGCAGTTCAGATTTCTTGTAAGTAGATGTTGTAGAATAAAAACATCAAAGGAGCAGCCGTCATTTTTTTAGATTCTGTCATCAACGAATGTAAAAACACCATGGGAACAAAGATTCCGACTCCCTGGCGCTATGCAACCTGCGAATCCCCCCCTCGCACTATGCACCATGGGAGTAGGAAACGGTGAATGGTGACGTACCCGTGATAAATATTAAGGGACCAGTCTTCATTAGTATAGATTCCATCATCAACCAATGTACATGTAAAAACACCACAGAAACACAATAAATCCGACTCCCTGGCGCTATGCAACTTGGGAATTTTTCACACACATCCCCCCGCACTATGCATCATGGGAGTGGGAAAGCTGTGAATGACGATGCCGTACCCGTGTTCGTGATCCGGGCCGTGAGCGTGCCCGTGAGCATGGTGACCATGTTCTTCATGCTCATGTGAGCTGTGCTGGTCGTGCTCCTGTGAGCTGTGCTGGCTGTGCCCGTCGTCGTCGTGCTCGCCGCTGTCGTGCCCGGGGTGCTCGGCGTGGCACGCCGCCACCAGCACCAGCAGAAGTATCACCCATACGAGCCTGAACTTCATGGTCTCCTGGAATAGACAGAAATCATTCAAAACAGACTTCAAAAACTACGTGTGTTCTTCCCGCAAGACACGTATTTCGGAAGGAAATTATTGATAAAAAGCTGGATGTGTTCTTCTAGAAAAAAAAACATACACTTCGTCACTTGAATATCTTTTTTTTACTAATTTAGGGCTTGATATTTGTTGACCTCGTCTAGAAAAGAAAGAACCGTAAATATCTTATTTTGTGTATCGTCCTCAAGGGTGCAATGTCTTTGCTACAAATAAATCGCAGAACAATGAAAAACATCGATGATCAAGTGTTGAGTGCTTATCAGCCCAAAAATGTTGACATGATTCATAGGTTATCCAAATGATGCAATCTCTCCCGGTGAGCAAACTAGTCCGTTGGGCTGTGTTTGGATGGACTTCGCTCACAAAAACACCACAAAACGCATTGTCAGCCAAGTTACGCCAAGATGCAGGCAGTCACGTATGACATGTTTTAATCACACGAGGTTCAGCAAATCTGTAATAAGGAATCTATGACAAACCTTTCCATCACAAGACAGCTAGATTTTGTAGAACATTTCATACACATCTAATCTCCTAGCAAATGTACAAAGTCTACTTATTCTCATTGTCTTACGTCCATTGATTGTTTGAAGTACATAAATCGGGTATTAAACAAAGTTAACCCCGGCCCTAGCTTCCTGAATTCCCCCATATATCGCTCACTTACTCCTACCCGGCGCATGCTGGGTCACCCCCAAGATTGAACTCACTGTCAATCAAGTTAAGAACAAAATATCCGCACACTCTCATTGCAACCGTCTCTACTGGACAAGCATAAACACAACCCCACGGACAAACCCACCCAAAACAATACCTCCGTACCCGGAGGTAAATACACGCGTAAAACACTGCCCCGGTGAAGCACTACATCTGCTTGAGATTAGAAATGAACGTTCGGACGCGCAGTGATCGCAGACAAACAATGTGTGTCTAAAGTCCCATGTCTACATGTCACAGCGATAATCTCTACCCCCAATTACCAAATGTTTGCAAACACGCATACCATATATTAACTATTAAGAAAATAGTCTATTGTAACGATTTGGGCGCCACAAAGTTGACCTAATTGTGATCATTTTGAATCGAAGAACACACTATAAATTGAGATCTACTTTGCAAGCGTTTAAGTTCTTGAACCATGTACGTTACAACAAAATTTCAAAAGAAAAGCACCCTTATGTGTAAGAAATCAAACTATTTGAAATGGTATGCAGGGTTTGAAATATTTTTTTCCTGTTTTCCTTAATTTCTACAATACGCGATTCACATAATACGAAGCCGCATCCTTCTAGCTTGCCAAATTGCAAAGTTTTAAAATATTTCCTCTGCAATTTTATTTTCTCTGTAAATTTAAGGTTAGAGAGGTATTTCAATCCGCGGTTTATACCAATAACAAGTTGAAGCGACATTTCCCCAACGTAGCTTTATTAAAACACTTCAAGTTCTAAAAATGATTTTCCAAGTCTGTACTTCACAGATGACTATGCCGGAATGAAGACTTCTTTTTCGTGTAGCCATCGGCTTGTCTATACTTATTAAAGAAAAATAAAGTTAGAATGTAAAATTATTATAAAAGAAAAGGGTAAAATATATAATCCCATTGTTCTATTTCTGCAATAAAGACTAGACAATAGAGAAGAGAAAAATAAGAGTAACTCACGTTGCTGCGACTAAGTTTCTTGTGAAGAATTCCCCACCACTGCAGAGGTGCTCTGTAAGTGTAACAGTCCGGCTGACGGTCGGTCCTAACTGGCTCACAACAAACACGCTCTCCTCCTTATGAAGGACAGGCGATTGTTTATGGGGGACGCCGAGGTGGTGTGATCGGTCAGCGATCATTATTTTGGGGGTGGCCCTAACACGACCTCAAACACACACTGGTAACTCATTTATCACAAGGGGTAAGCATTTTTTTCTCTGCAAACACCGAATGTCACAGAAGCACGTGTCGAACGCAGACCTAGATTAATTCACCGGCCTAATTTGGCAACTTCAGACGTCTTCGTGGTGAAAATTAGGAACTTTTTTTGTCAAAATATGCCATGAAAGGTGACCACGCACATGACTTTTCAATTTTACATGAAGATCAGAAACGCCATAACAAAAAGAAAAACATTTTAAGACTAAGATTATAAAAAAATTTCTTTGATGATATATAGGAAAATGAGGTGTGGTTTGCATCTTTTTTTCTTCGCACCGAGTCCCTCCTAGTAATTCCCTCCTTGCGGACAAGGCTGGATTATTGTCTGCAAGACTCTAAGGCCCCATGCCCACTACGATGAAATTCTTCGGATCGAGCCAAATTGATTCGCTTCAACCCGGCTTCAATCCTGCTTCGAGCCGAATGGAGCCGGACAATTTTATGCCAGTGGGAATGGGGCCTAAGTCATGACGCCCCCCTCCCCACCACCTGTTTGTCGTTCGACCTTGTCGTGGGCCGTTTCTCGGAAATCGGACGATGTTTCAAAACACCTTCGCTCAGCTCTGTGTCTTTACTTTGGTCGTGTTTTGTATTGACACTAGGATGTTGTCTCAAGTATCTGTTTTGAACAAGTGGCGGAGTTACGAAAACAGGCGTGAGGTGAAAGATCATGATGTGATTGACAGCTTCCTGTGGCGTGAGCGTCTTGAAACGCTAACGGCTTACTGTATCTTTTGTGATCTTATAACGTTACATCTTAGTTCTTGGCACGTAACTGGTCGTGTTATGTAACTGTACAACCCAAAAGGCTATTCTACAGTTCTGTAACATTTAAATAGTGCCCAGAATCTTGCAGTACAACAAAATGGCGGCGGTAACAAACAAGGCATGAACGAATGTCCTTGACATTCCTCTCCGGAGCCTCCTATGTACAGCTACGAAAAAAAAAACAACAACTTAGCATCATAATAACCGTTAACGCCAATTTTATACTTTATTTTCAATAAATACGTTTTTCTTAGACTTCATTTGGTTGATAATACAGATGGCAAGATATTTTGGGAAGCAATCTTTATTTCTGTACCGTGGTTCTTGGTAGTCCTTAGGACTCTCAGTGTCATCATCGTTCCGGGGTATGATACCTTATGTAAAGATGAACAAGTTAATTCGATACCGCTTTCCCAGCAAACTAACAGCCAAACTCTGTGGACTTCTGCCATGTAGTTCAGAATTTTTCTTGTCGTCATGTTTTTGACGGGATTCCAGAGGCGCTCGTGCCTCCAAACGACAAGGCGAGTCAGATGAACTCCACTAACTGCTTGCTGAGTGATGGATCTGTTATCACAACTTGTGGGGACCACAAGGCCGCCAGGGCCACCCCACAGCTGAATTTTGTGCAGATCAGCACAGTTTAACGGAAAACAGGCCCAACTCGCCGATAAACAAGATGTTTCTCAGATTTCCTCCGTCATCCAAATTTGCCTGAATCATCAGTTTGCAACAGTGATGTAAACAAAGTTAAGGAATAAACGGAAAGAGTGGGAGGGGGGTAAATATTGTTGCAATTTCTAGTCACGCCAGCAGTTCAGACAATCTGTCGTTCAGCATCTTTTTCTCAGTTTTCTTGATTTTGTATAAGAATTACTTAATGTTCAGATCCCTCTTAACAGCCTTGTCTGGTTTGTTTCTTTGCCGCTGGTTCAAAGTCCAAGCAATTTTCATATCAAGCAAGTACCATTTGTATTACTTCACAGTTCCGACAGACGGTGTTTAATACCTTCCACAGCCTGGCACAAGTGATAACCGGACGTCTGTGGCAGCCAGTCCCTCCTGATAGTCGGCTGTGTGACCTGCTATCAGAAGTGCGACCGGGTCCTGTGACCGAAGTTGTTGCAAAAAAGTCTAATCTTCAGTAGAGGCAAGCTGTTTAATGCCCGGTCAACTTGTCTTCAATGAAATGTAGGAGTTAAAGTTTTCTGACAGACCGGCTTTATTCACAATTTCTTCATCCTTTCAACATGTAGAGGATCATTAAAAGACTACCTTTCTACTAAGACCACAAACCCACTCATTATCCAGAATGTGGGATTATTCATTATCCACTGCCTTCAAAGAAGAAGTCAAACCCTATAATAGCTAGCGTAGTAATAGAAGTTTTTCCAGACAGTAGTTGTTTGTCTCCTATTATTGTATTGTATCTTTGACTGTGAAAGCAATTAGCCTTCGAGCATGATTTTGCAACTAAAGAATATTTACAATCTTTAATCCTCAGAGCTGATTGCTTTAGTTCGTTTATCCCCCCCCCCTGCAGAGGTCTGTAAAAAAAGAACTAGGCGGTAAGAAAAATTTACAATTGTCCACCCTAACATCTGCTTGGAGACTGCTGTTCTCCCAAACTTAGAGCCAGTACCAGGTTGTAAGGCATTACCAAACGATAATTTAGCTGTGACATCAGGGTGCCTGAAAGGTCGCAACAGTGTAACAGCCCGAGTTGCTGATTGATGAGTTGTTGCTCATACTGAAGTCAGTTGTTGTTACAAGTGTCGGGTGAACAATTTGCCTGTGTGCTACCCTGGATAGTTTATGCGTGCTCCCATGGTAGATAGTGAGCAGAACTAAACTAACCAGGCTAGTTATACGTTAATCGAGCTTTGATATATCTACATGTATATATATAGAATGACAAAGCAATGTACCAGTTGCTTCCCATCTACTAGAAATTCACATCGCAATGGGCATCTCTTCAAACATTTTTCAATACTAAATAGCAAAGTTCTTGTTCAAGAAAAGCATCTTCATCGGGGCAATTATGACTGTCACAGGTTCACTGTGCACCGAAACTAGGTACTAGGCGTAATACTGGTTCCCTGTGCACTGAAGAGTTTTCAGTACTTCAAGTTTATTTCTTTCCCTGATGTTTTGGCGCCATCCCAAAGTCCCTGTGTGGACTGGTTTGACCCTCTGTCGGCCTTGACGGAGTCAAACAAGCTGTTAATCTTTATTGGAACCGTGAGGCATTGTGGGCAGAATCACGGCTGCTTTTCTGGAGCCCCCTAGCAGGTACCTTTCAAACTGCAGTCATTTCTGTGTATAGGGTAACACACCAATAACAACAAAGGTGACAATCCGTACTGAGTGTATCTATACAAGTTTTATACAAATTAACAAAAAGTCACAGATAAAAAAAGTGAAAGTTACTTAATGATGGTTACTCCAGAGACATTATAATAAGGAAGGTCACTAATCTGCATGCCAGAGTTAGTTCAGCTTTTTATGTTCTTTGTTTAATCTAGTAATTCTTTCAACGTTGGAAGTTCGTAGATGTTTATATATATACAATCGTTCTGCGAATCTGGAGGTCTCCATGGCCTTGACATCGAAGTTGGCCCTCTTACTGACACAACATACGGTATTCGTCTAGCTGGCTTAAAACTCTTGTGTCAGTGCTTGACTTTTTGGCGACGCCCCAGGGGCGGAGGCGTTTTAAGTGTGGCCATTCCCGCTGATGGGGTTGCCGAAGCCGACATAGCTGACTCTCTGGCTCGGCGGTGTGAAGTTGTCGTCATACGTGAAGGCTAACAGCGCCTCCTGGGAAAACAACGATGACGTGATAAGTGCAGGCGATCTTTCTTATCAAGCGCGTTTCTTGGGACGTCTCGGGTATTGCATTAAATAATGTCTCTTTCCGTACAAGAACGTTCAGATTTTTTGTGTGTGTGATGCTCTGGATGTCAAAGATACAGAAACGTTCATTGAAAAATAATCCTTCAGAAAGCACAATAGATATCTACATTTACATGTACAATGTATGTTGATTCGCGTTAAACATAAACATGACAGTACTACCTTGTCGTATCTCACTCCTTCCTGGTCCAGGCGATCCATGAGACGTATCCCGTGCTCTCGGATTGTTCTCGCGAGAAGTGGGTACTCGTGTACTCTCGTGATGTACGCCTTCACCTCATCTCGAGTGTACAGGTTTGTCTGTGTCGGTCGGGAAGAATACACTTCTAAATTTCAACTAAGTGTACGAAGTGAAGAATTACATACAACTGACACAACTCATTAAAAATTCAGGTCACATTACTTTTTTGTTATGAGGGTGACTCCTACGAAATCAACTTTGTGACAAATATGCGATAATGGGGGAGAACCTGTCAAGCAAGATGAACATTTGTTTGTTTGTTTTGAGTTACTTACGTGGTTATTAAGTGCTGCAATCTGGTCATCCCTGCCTCGGAAAGCCTTTGGCAGCGGCAGGCAGATTTCATACGGTAGACTACAGCTCCCTTCTTCAGCGGACCCCATCAGCACCACGCCTTGGTACTGGAGAAGGAGTGTATTATGGGTAACACGTGAAGAGCATCATGGGTAACACGTGGAGTGCATTATGGGTAACATGTGGAGTGCATTATGGGTATCATGTGGAAGTAATTTTGGTCACTGAGTCAGTGTTATGTATTCATTGGGACTACAAATAGTTAGGTCCTACTACGATGTACAAAAAAGTTCTTGAAACCGGCCACTCTGGAGAATAAGATAACACAAGGCATGCTCGCCTTACTCACATTGAAGAACAGAGGCGCCGTAAGACTGCCCAGAGGGATTCCTCCAACGTTGTCTCCGGCGAAGTATTTAAGCAGGGGGCGGAAGACCTTCCTTCCCGAGTGATGGACTCCACAGCCAATTTCAAAATGGCACACGCCCTTGTCTAAAAGGATTAACGAGAGAAAAGATGTACCAAACAAACAATTAGGCACTGAATATATTGAAAGTCCATATTGTCGTTTCAGAAGTGAAATGAGCTTCAGAAAAACCGCCAGCAGAAGTTATGATCAGAAGGGATTTTTAAAGTCTGATTTTTTATTAATAAAATTACAGTTAAAATCTGCCTATTTTCATACCCATACTTACAATCTGTTACTGTTATCTCCCAGAAGTCGCCGAAGTCCTTGGTCTTCCTGATCGGCATGCATTCGGTGGTCTTGCACCTGGGCGGCATCGGGACGTAGACGATCTCGGCTTTTCTCGCGGGATCTCGCGGTGCCTCGTCCTTCACGGCGTGTTCTCGCTTATACGCCTTGTTTTTTCCCGGTGTCTGGTCACGATAAAGAGATGGAGACTGGCGCACAGACAGACAGACATAAGCATCCTATTTTTACATTAAGGCCAATCCTTTCTTGCGTTCGTATTAGACAATTCGTTGTAGTGAGTTCTAGGGAAGAACATGTCAAAAACACAGGTACAAAGACCTTCAACATATATTTATCTCTATGTATGATAACAAAACTGAGTACTGTAGTTGACCTACTTCAGTTTCATCCTCCATGATGATGAGTTCGTTGTAGCCCTCTTTTCCGGCCCCATCCGAATCGTACATCAGAATACTGAAGACCTCTTTCTGAAGAGAAACGAGTGTTTGAATAATTGCACGTCCACCGCTTCTATCTAATAATATTCAAGTAAATGAGCAAAAAAAAATATATATATCGCATTCTTAGGATAACAATAATGGAGGCATAACGATTGCAAGGCGGATAAATGGTGGAAATTTTTTCATTTTGAAAGATGTT